TACCCCCCCCCGGCTCTCGTATTGTGACCCAGTAGACAACGCGTGCGGTGGACCAAGCATACTACGCGTGTGGTGAACCCAGCAAACCACGCTGGGGGGGTACCCCCCCCCGGCACTCGTATTGTGACCCAGCAGACAACGCGTGCGGTGGACCAAGCATACTATGCGTGTGGTGAACCCAGCAAACCACGCTGGGGGGGGTCCGGGGGGGGGTAAGGCACTCGTGTTGTGACCTACCTAGCAGACTACTACACGTCACGTGCGGTGGACCAACCAAACGACAGCATACAACAGTAGACTGCTGTGTGACTACATGTAATTTAATAATGTACAGCAATATAGCGTACAACGGCTAGCATGTACAACCACGCATCATAGGCACACACATTCACAGGTACTAAATCTGCTGGTCTGGTGCACACGTTTGTATCTTACAGGCAGACAGAGCTGTGTGTGTGCTTCCGTTAGGAACCGCAGAGCAGCGTCGATCTACCCTCTCCTCCACCCATGGGCATCAACAGGTACAACCACACAACATAGGCGCACACGTTACAGAAGGCATCTCGTCATCACACCACCAGTTAGTTGCTGCATGCATCTCTCTCTATCTCTCTTTCTTTGTGCTTGAACTCACCTTCTTCCTCCTGGGGCACGGAACAGCTGCATACCCTGTATCTACAAATTCTTAAACCAGGGGGGGGGGGCGTCGCGACACCTCCGGACTCCGGACATATATCTCGTTCCAGCCTCACTTATTTGTGCCTTGGGCTGCGGGAGGCGCGTCCCCGGAAAACCAAAACGCCAAACTACTTCACACCACACAGCAGGCTCAGCACTTGCATATAGAAGCACAGCAGGCAACCCATCTGTTGCTGCTGGGCTGCATGTCTGCTACTGTAACCAACGCAGACGGTTGCTATGCCATGAGCTACAGCAGTACCACGGGATTGACTGCGCATCAACCACTGTATAGCGTTCGTAGCAGCTCTCTACCTGCTGCTGCTGCTATGCTTCTTCTCGGTTATTCGAACCGCAGTATTGTAGAGCAGCGTCGATGTACAACCCTCTCCTCCAAGCGTGTGCATCAACAGGTACAACCACACAACATCATGCGCGCACGCAGAACATACTGAATCGTCATCACAGCAGGTGCTGCACATCTTCTCGTGCTCGAATCCACCCAGCCTCTCTCGACTGCTGAAAATTGCTGGCAAGTTCCTGCTGGGGCACGGAACAGCTGCATACCCTATATCTACAAATTCTTAAAACCAGGGGGGGGGGGGTCGCGACACCTCCGGACATATATCTCGTTCCGGCCTCACTTCTTTGTGCCCTGGGCTGCGGGAGGCGCGTCCCCGGAAAACCAAAACGCCAAAATATATGGTACTTCACACCACACATGACGTGCAATCGGCCGGCGGTGGCCTACTGGCGCCTAGATATTTATGTAGATGTGCCGGTGGGGTCGTGCGTGTTTCGCGTCTCGAAGATGCGTGCGATCAAAAGTGTGTTTCTAGGCCTTCGTGGGCCGGGATCAGCAGGGAATTCGAACACTGAAAACGGGGGCATGCAACGTCAGCTGCCACGACGAGCTAATTGCGCCGCTTCCCTGTATCTATCCAATTGCGCCGCTTCACTTTCTCTCCAACTCTCTCTCTCTCTCTCAACTGACTGCAATTCCCTCATAAGCTCATCATTCCAACCATAAACCAACACTTTCTCCCTTCTAGTCTCCATCTCATACACTTTTCATGACCTTATTGAGCCTGTTACCCGCAGAGGAGATGTCCCTATATGCTGTCTGGGAAATCGTAGACATATAGGTACTTTCTGACGCTATGAATTCATTGCTAATCTGTCTCAGACTCTTTTCTATGATAGAGATGGATTCGTAGTGTCATATTAAGAAAAAAAAAACACACACACAGATAGACTACCCATTCGTGCTAATAATACAATAATACGAAGTAGATCTTTAGATGTTCCAGTTTTTTTTTTTCTTGAGATGACCCAATGAACCCATCTCTATCTGTACTGTTTAGCCCTGCGCCTGACCACATGTTTTTTGAGTGTTACATAAAAACAAAACCTGGCTTTTTGGCCGAAAAAAAGGCGGATTTTTTTTTTTGTGACGTTTCGACCAAAAGCCTGACCACGCGCATACATAAAAAAAGGGGGGTCAGGCGCAGGGCTAACTGTAAAGAGAAACGATAGATAGATTAGCGATGACTTCATAGCGTCAGAGGAAGCTACCTGTATTTCCACGGTTTCCCGAGCAGCACACAGCGATATCTCCCCTGTGGGTAAACAGGCTCCACAAGACAGTTTGGCTGTTCGGACCAGTGGGCTGCTGGGCGGTACAGCAAAAGTTTGCCAGACTTGCACCTTGCTTGCACCGGGGAAAAAAACTCTTGTCTCGGAACGGCAAAGTGGATCTACATTTAGTCTATCCGCCCTCCGTAGGCAATTTGCTCTTCGTGTATGCACAGTACTACGGATGTATGACAGCTATATGCCCCCGCAGCACACGCCGATCGACAGCAGTATCCCGAGGTCGTGGCCACCGCCGTGTTACTGACGTACTTCGTGCCTCTCTCCGACCCGCTGGAGGGGGTTTCGCACCACTGCTCATGATTCTTTGCCTGTAAGGCGTCAGTCAGCGTCTTTGCATTAGCGTATTAGCGTGCGTAGATTGTATTCGTATCTCTGGTAGAGCTGCTTTTCTCAAAAAAAAAAATTGTCTTCACTTCCACTTCCAAGCAGCGCTCACAGCACTAGTGCCGTTTACTCCAACCCGTGGTCACACAGAAGAGCCCTCTCTGCCCCCCCCTCCTACGGTACTTTTCCTTCGATTTTTAATACTGGAAGAGTTCAGCACTGTCTTCCCTCTGTGTACACACGAACTAGCGCTATCCACTAGGCCAGGAGCGGAAGCGAGAGAAAAACTCACTTTGAAAGAAAAGCTCGCTTACGCCGGGATTCGAACCCCTGACCTGACCTCTAGAAGGTGTCGAAGATACCAACTAGACCACCGGGGCGACCGGCATAGCATATGATATGCAGTGCTGCTCTCTGACCACAGAAGGATACGTTGTTGTTCTCGTACAATTGGTTCCCGGTGTACACGTGTCAGAGGTGTGCCTGCCTGCCTGCCTGCCTGCCTGACGGAAAATACCAGCGGGTCCATGTACAGTATGCCGGCGGCGGAGGCGCAGTCCGTCTTGTCCGAAGTGTTAGGAAATTGCCACGCTGGTTGGTAGACTTACTACTTCTGCTGGTTAGGACATTAATGCTTCGGAAATGAAACAACACCTGTGTATGCTGCATATGAAAGCTACATTGATGAGTGAATTTGTTGTTTCCCTTCGATGCTGCTGCTGCGTAAATTTAGGTGCGCACGATTCAGCGGCAGCGATGAGTGCCCACGGGGCCTCAGCAGAGGCCAAGCCTGCGACTTGCCTGCAGAAGATGTCCCATGCCATCGAGTCAAGGATGCACGCCTTCTTCTCGAGGCTGGGGGAACTGGTAGCCATTCACCCTGGAAAGACGGTGTTGCTCGCTTTAGTAGGTATGGCAAGAGGGCGGCAGTTTTGTGGAGGTGGAGGGGGGCAGATTCGGGTGCAGCATGGAACACTCCGTGGGACAAAACAGTAATTACAGAAAGTGGACAATGGTGGCTTACGCAGAGAGAAACTCACGAAACTTTCGTTGCGATGCTGGACTACGGTATTTGTTGAGGAGCTGGGTTTGATGTAGGAACATTCAGGTCGTCTTCGTGTGAGTACTGCGCGCCGGTAGCTCATGCATGGCGCAACTTACAGAATTGCGGGCACGCCAGAGCGATGTACCGGCGGCTTCGGGGGCAGTGGGTACAACTGTTTTGTGAGGGGGGCATCCAGCTGTGGTGGCATGGCAAGAGCGCATGTGTGTCATGCGCCGGTTTCATATTTTCCAACCCCCCCGATTCTTAATTTCGCCGTTTCCTACTTACCGTTTCCCTCGCCGCTGAAGTAGAGAGGGAAAACTTGTCGTCAACTCCCTGTAAGTCTGTTCTTGTCGGTGTTCTCTAATCCGTTTCCCCTGTCTTTTTCTGGTCCCCATGCGTGCTTCGCTACATCGTGGAGACATGTGGTTCCCTTAAATCCCTACATGTGTACCATTTCTCCAACGCCGTTCTCGTCTCGTGGGTGGTTTTCTCTCTCTTTCCTGATGTGTGTAGGCGTTCTGATCGGCGCGTCCGGCTTCACGGCCCTGGAGCAGGAGTCGAGGGGAGACAAGCTGTGGGTGCCCTCGGGCACTCGCGCCTCGGAGGACTACGTAAGTGCCGCCGCGTTTTTCCGGATATGTATGTAGTGTCCGAATTTGGAGGGCGTGTGTTAATTTTGTCGGGGGTGGGTCCTCACTGCTCAGCAGAGAGACATGCGTGTGTGCTCTTGACTACCGCATGTGATGTGTCCAGCAACTGCCGTTGGTGGGCGCTGTCCGCATCCAATGCATCGGTAGGGAGAACGTTTTAGGTTCATCTACTGGAAGCAGCTGAAATTGTGAACTAAAAGCATGAACGATTTCGTGCGAATAGTCTCCGATGCTGTTCCCGTGGTTGCCCTCGGCCGCATTTTATCCTCTGTGTGTTGTTTGTGGTCCTTGCGTGCTGCTACTTGTTTGTGCACCGTTGCTACGCACACCCGTATGACAGCTCTTCCAAAAGCAAAGACAACCGTGAGATGACGCGTTGACCTCCTATTGGAAAACGTCGGACCATGCTTCGATATGTTTTTGAAGCGCTGCTGCTGTAATGTATCGCCTCCCCGACCAACAACAGCACCGACTTGAGCTTGAAGTGTTCGAACCCTTCCTGGTTTAACGTCGTTATTTCTTCACCCGTACTGTTGAAGTGGGTCACCCATCACCAGCATCGCCTTCAGCGTGAGACCTTGAATCGTGCCTCGCTTCGCGTCCCTCTCTTGCCTCGTCGCACCTGCCGTTGTTGGGTGTGGATATTGTATTGTAATGCGTGTGACAGGCGACTTATCTGTCGTTCTTCCCCCCGGCGGGCCGATCAAACCTCGTCATCGCTGTTCCCTCGGACGGAGGCGATGCCTTGACCAAGGAAAACCTCGTCAGGGCCCTTGACCTGTTCGAGGAGATCAGCGCCGTAACCATCACCTACGAGGTCAGTGGCTTTTGTGCCGAAAAGGGTGAGAAGTTGAGAGCCATCAAGAGACGACACCGGTAGTATTTAGAATTGCGGGGGCTGTTCCGGCGCCAAAGAAGACGTTATTGTTTCGTCGTTCGTCTCGTAACGCAAACGTGGACCAGCGACAAGAACACAACCGTGAACGGACGCGGCACCCATGGTTGGGTTATGAACGATTTGATTGCAAACGGGTGCGTGACTCGCTTAGCTGTGGAGTGTTGATTCCCGTCGGCCGCCTCATTCGTGATGTGTTGTATGATGGAATGGCTGCCTTTTTTTTTCACGGACAGGGCGAGGAGTACTCGTTTGCAGACCTCTGCGTGGAGTCTTCCGACTACTCGGGCACAACGTGCATGGTGGAGAGCGTCCTCGGCAAGTGGGAGTACGATTCTGCCCTCCTGGACGCAGAGGCGGACGCCACCGTCCTCACCACGGTGAACGGCGCTTTGGGTGGCGTCTTTGCGAGGAACCACGAAAGCGACCGACGACAGTCTGGTAGTCTTTGCCGTTACGGTTCCTCACCGTTACGCCATTTGTGGTACTTCGAAGGCCGTTGTCGAGTGCGGCGTGTTGGTTGTCGTCAGTGCGCCCCGGCCCCTCTCGAGAGCGATCGGTGTCCATGATGTCGTTCGTAGACGTGATCAGGCGTTATCAGTGCGCCAGATGACGATACCATCACGACCATGTCACTTACATCTAACGACGGCGTTGCGTTTTTTGTGGATATTACGATAATATGACAGACTTCGTTGGTCTTCGGCACGGCATGGAAAAAAAACAAATCCCAAAAAACTTATCTATCGAGGAGCGACCATTGAAGACATTGGTATGATCAAACCACCGGCGGCACAGCACGCCACGCTCGGACCGCGTGTGTTGTGCAACCTACACAAGATGGCGGAATTCGAACCATTCACCCCTACAGCATCTCTAACCCTGGCGACCTCGCCATGCAAACATGCCATGTACAGATCAACACTGGGTCGACCATAAGCGAGCTGGAAAACTACCTGGGGGGAATGACTCTCTCGGACGATGGAACAGAGGTGTGGTGGATGATGGATGTCCTTGTCGTTCTGTTGATGTTTGTTAGTTGGCCGTATGTAGCGAAACGCACATGCACATTGCAAGCGTGGCGAAGTGGACAGCACGCCAAACATGCTCAAGGTATGTGTAAGAGTCGAAGGCCTGGACACAAAGATCGAACGCTCGTGATTGTAAGTGTAAGCAATCACTTCGCTTGTCGATTGCGCGGACCCCGGCCATCAAGCCTCGCCTCGAAATCTGGCATATGCATATGTATAAACAAAAGCATTTCTGCCTCGGCACTTTCAAAGCAAACAATTATGATACTCCCGGCAGTCGCCACCGACTCAACAATGATGATTAGCGCACGCGTTACGATCTTCTACACCGCTACGCGGGGGCCGAGGTACCGTTGCAGCGCAGCGCTTGTTCGCTGTTTGAAACCACCGAAAGTCCTGTTTGTAATCCTCACGGACGGATGGTTGTTTACGTACGTACGTCTTCTATTCAACAGGTCCTTTCGGCCGAAGCCCTCCGGATAGTGGTGACCCTGAAAAGCACGGAGACCGTGGAGGACGGTGCCTACGTTGATCCCATTCCGGACGAGTGGGAGCTGGAGTTCATCGACGTTGCCCAGGTACAGTAGTGTTACCGTAGCGTGGGAACGTAGGCGGCTTGGTTTTGGACGGGACTTTCAGCAGCTGACACGAACAGCTGGTTCATGGAGAGGTAATTTAGCGGGGTCATCACGGCGTGTTTCGAATTTGTTCCCTTCTATTTATGAGAACGGAACGTATTTCGGTTGAGGACTCAAATCAAGGCTGCATTTACATTTCCTTCAAGAGCAGCTTCTCAAACGTAGTTGTTGATGATGATACTGGTGCATTTGTTGCTGTTCGCAGAGTTTTAGACCCGGTGTTGTGGTATGGTCGGTGTGAGAGTGCACCCCTGATGTACTACGATAGTGTATTGTCCGTAAGGAGTACACGCACGTGCGCCTCACACCCGAAAAGGCCCGTTGACGGCGCACCCGTCGCGAATTCTTTTTAGCTTTGGCGTTGCTGACCAAGCTCACGGCCATCCTGATTTGGCTATCGTTGTTTTTGAGGTGTGGTCCACGACGACGAAACTGCTGTCCGTGCCTGGCCTACCTGTATTGACGGCCGCGTTTGCCACCAAGATGCATGCCCAAATCATGACAAACGACGACGTCGCATTCTTCCAAACCAACCAGGATTGCACCGATGGCTTGGAGTGCTACGTGGAGGCAACGCGGTCGTTGAGTGACGAGTTCGGCGGCGCTATCTCCGGAGACATCTCCCTCATCTCTGGGTCTTACATGATCATCATGGCGTACACCGTCTTCAACCTTTCGTCCACTCCTTTCCTCAAGTCGAGGATCCTTCTGTCTCTCGGAGCCATCTTGGTAAGAAAAGTGTGTGCGGGCTTGTTTCTGTTGTGATGCGATGAGATGAGATTCGGACCATCGATTCGTGGCCGAGACGTGGATGATGCCACACGACATGCTCGAGTTGAAGCAGCTGCTGTAGCTGCTGTTGCTACCTAACCCGCGGAAAATTATTTCCAGCTTCGTCGCAGGGGCCGCCCGTGTGTCTTCCTCTTGGCACTTGTCTGTCAAGGACCATTCGCCGGAGTCGTTATCGCTCGTGTGGTTGATCAAGATGTGCTTCCATGTGTATGGACAGCAGTGGATCGGTTTTGTACGTGCTGCTCACCTATCGTCGCCTATCGATCAATCCACCCTGTCCTGTCCTGTCTCGACGTTCTTGGTGTGGGCCGTTGTGTGTATGGTGGTATCTCTTGTGATCGATCTGACGAATTCTCGTGGTGTGTTTCGATGGTGCTTCTATGCTGCTGCTGTGATGGATCTTCTTTGGCCTACCGTCGTTGCCGGGGTAGACGGTGGGACTGTCGATCGCGTTCTCCATTGGGCTGGCAGCTTACTTGGGCTTCTTCTACACCCCCCTACACACGGTGAGAATTCCGACAGCAATGACGCACGCCATTCAGGGCAAAATGAACGTAAAATACAACTAACTCGTCACGTAATCTCTGTCGTCAAGATGCCGTGATCTCTACTGATGTTACTGCTGTCGGCCTTTGCCCCCCTAAGGCAGTATAACTTGACTTTCCCAGCTTCCCCCTCACGCTGCTGATTTTCCGCCTCTGTGGGTGTACGCGAATGGTGTTTGATGGTGAGTTCTATTTGTTGATGTTGTGAGGTAGTTGCTTTGGACTGATGTTGAGAAGACGCCGATGGCCGTGTTGGTAAAGTTCGATCCTATCGCATGCTGCCCTCTCGTTTTGATTGGGTCTGGCGCGGCTGATCACATGGACGTGTGGTGTTTGATGTCAACCCGCTCCGTCCGTTTGTCTCAGGTGCTACCCTTTATCCTGCTCGGGCTTGGAGTGGACGACAGCTTCGTCATCTGCAACGCATTCGGCAGGACTGACCCGAGAAAATCCATCCCGGAGCGGATGCGCGAGGGCCTCGGCACTTCAGGTTGGAACGACTTCATTCCTAAGTAGTTGTCGTTGCTGTCAAGTCTTCGTGACACAGCTGTAGAATTTTTGTTGTTCATGGTGTGCCCGTGTGTCTCGGTATTGAGATTACGTCATCGTCGTTGCTATGTCCGTTTCGTCGGTGTATTGAACGCGCACATTTTGACGAAACGCGTTGCTGCTCACTCTTTGTTGGTGCTTGTCCCAATCAGCTAGCATACAATATCGTTTGTTGTCGGACGCGGACAGCCATGCTTGCCACAACCCTGTTTGGCGGGTTGTTGGTCTTGACACAAGCGCTGTCATCTCAAACACACCCGTGCTTTCACAAAATGCTTGCTTCACGACACACGCGGGAAGTGGTGCTCCGTTCTGGAAGATTTGCTCTAATCAAACATCAATTCAGCCCTTCGAAACGCTTACTACGGACATTGTTTGCTTGCTTTGTTTCTTTTTATTATTGACCCCACCTGTGAATGCACAGAATGGATACATACCGTGGATGTTTTTTTTTCTGTGTAGTCTATGTTTTGTGACGTTGACGGTGTTGCTGTTGGCCTGGCAGGCGTGTCCATCACGGTGACTAGCATCACCGACTTCGTGGCCTTCATGATCAGCTCCACCACGGCACTGCCGGCGCTGTCTTCGTTCTGTGTATACTCCGCGCTGGGTGTCCTAGCGCTCTACATTTTGCAGGTAAAGAAGATGTACACTCTCGCATGAGTTGGTCGGGTGCCATGGCTGTGGTTTTCTCGACTGTGTGATCTCCACTGGGACTTTTTGACATTCACACATTTGTTGCGGTAAGGTTGGCATTTTCGCTGCTGCTGCTGCTGCTGTGGCGGCGGCGGCGGCGGCGGCTGCTGCTGCTTCTACACCGAAGTGGGGATAGTTTTGGAGTAAGTCTCGTGCTTGTACAGCGGTAGTTCAGCGGTAGTTCTGTCTCAAGCTTGTGTGCTGCCGATGCACTGGAGGGCTCGTGCAAGGTGTGTAAATTTCGCTAGTCACAGGTCTTGCGACGTGCGGGATTGTATTTGCATGTTGCTGCTGCTGCTTGGTGCGGCCGTAACCCAGCACTCTGCTGCTGGACATGGCTTCTGAATTGGGCTTGAATACCAGCGTGTGTCCATGGACCGACCTTTGGCGCATGCGCAACTCGGCGGCCACTAGCCCACACTGCCGTGTCTTCTTGTCCCGTCCGCCCACACACATGATTGTTCGCGCACGGCGCGGTGCTTCGACTGCTGTACGGCGACGCTTTTTTCTGGGTCGGCGTTGCCGTGCGCAATAGTCGACGCTATTTGTTGCCTTCGTGGTGTACGACATGAGGAGGCAAGAGGCGGGCAGGCTGGATTGCTGCTGCTTCTTGAAGACCAAAGACATGCACAAGCGGCCCTCGGCGGTGGCCGCGGCTGCCGCAGAACCGAGCGCTGAATGGGTGAGAGAGAGAAAAAAGAGATCTGCTGTGGCGTTGGTCTCCCCTCACGCCTATCGAGGGGCGAAAATTCGCACTCCCTTGGTGCCTCACGCACACGTATGTGTGTGTCGATGGCTGCCCCGGAGCGAGACTGATAGTCTTGCCTCGCTCTGACGATGGTAATAACGACGTATGCATACAGCTGTTGTCCTGTCTGTTGCAGCTCGCCTCACGGGTTGTCGTTGTGGATGCCCTGGCTTTCGTTTTGCCGGCTAAGCGATTGTGTATTAACGGCCGGCATTACATCTCTCGAAGGTTCATGCTTGGCCCAAGCGGTGTGTGTGCAGCGGCAGTCTATCCTAGCTTTCGTGTTGCAAACCCGTCCACCGTGCATCCGCCGTGCATCAGCTGCGAATGGCGTGCGGGCGTTGGCACTACGACCAGCGGGCGATGAAAGATGTAACTCTCGCCCTTGGTCGTGTTGCGCGCTGTTTGTGTGCCCCCCCGTCTTTCCTGCGATAGGCACGTCTCCGCTACTGTCGGGGATGGTGCATACATACACTACGCATCACGTGTTTCTTTCTTTATGCCCGGCAAAGCTGCCGTTGCTCTTTGAACCCGGTCGTGGTGCAATACTCGTAATGTACTACATGGCACCAAAAGAAAGTCTGTGCTATCGAGAATATTAAACCCGTCCGAACGGGTGCGTTGGAAGTGTTGGCAGTACAATAGCGAGGGTTGCTTCAACTCTCCATCTTGCCCGGCTGCCGGGCCCTTGTCTTTGTGTCTCGTCCTTGTCATTTCTAGCATTCTATGGTACATATTTTTTGTGTGATATTTTGGTTCTGCCTGTTTTTGCTGCTTTGGTTCAGGACCCTACCTGGGGCGAAAGGGGACGGCTGGAGAAGTTTGTCGGCGACAAGTACGCCCCCGTTCTCACGAAGAAACCTGTCAAGGCCGCAATCATCGCCGTCTTCGGCATCATATTCGTGAGTTGTTTGCTGCCGTACGTTTCTCGTGATGACGACAGCACGGTGTCGTTCTCGTGTTTGCGCGTTGTTGTTCGTGCTCTTTGTCTGGTTCCATGGTTTTAGCGATCGACATGTCCAGCGCGTTTTTTTTTGTCTTTTTTTCGCCGCTGGCAAGTCGTCGTGGTCGTTGGTTCACTTCTTTTTTTTTTTTGTGATTTTTGGCGCGGTTGGTGTTGGATACGATGATGATGATGATGATGATGTTGATGAACCGACGCTCCATTCTCGTGCCGACGCTGCGGCTTAGTTTGGTGCGGTTTTCTTTCACTTTCCTGCAAGGTACTCGGCGACCAACCCGCTCTCTAGGCCGCAAGGAAAAGTTCAGAAATCATCGCAGGCCGTTACATGTGTGTCTTATCTAACGGCATTTTTCTACGCGGTACGTCCCAATTGCTGCTGTCGTTTGCAGGCGTTTTGCTGCTACGGGGCTAGCCAGCTTGGCGTGGATGATACCGACGAGGCGTTCATCCCTGACGGGTCTTACCTCCTCGATACGATCAACGCGCGAGAGATGTGCGTGGGTGCATGCATGGTTGTTGTTTGTTGCGTGCTGTTGTGTGTTGCTGTTGTTGTTGTTGTTGTTGTTGTTGTTTTTCCTCAATGTTCTCACCAGAGTCACTACTTCCAGTTTTTGCACGTCGTGCGATTGGTCAGAACTCGTTGTTGACTGCTTGCTGCTGATTGTCCCCCGTCTCTCGACTGATGTCCATCGATTCCTCGCCCTCGCCAACCGGCTGTGAGGATTTTTTTAGACCCTCTTCTGTTCGGCGTATGACCAACCCCCAACCCCTTTTCTTCAGTGAGTGACGGTAGCACACAACAACCGAAACTGTTAAAGAATATAAGAATATGGCTGGTGCATCTTGTCTACATACTACCTCTACCATACGCTACCCACTTATCCCGGATTACCCCTGTTGCGTTAACTGGACCTCCTGAACGCATCGTATCGTGTGGTGTGGTGTGGTGTGGTGTGGGTGTGCACAACGGCAGGTACTTCGGGAGCGTCGGCGCGGACGTAGAGATTGTGACCGAAGACATCGACTACTTCTCCCTGCAGGCGGAGCTAGCAGACGTGTCCGCCAAGCTGACCGGCTTTGGAGACGACAGGTCGCCGTACATCAAGGTGACGGACCTCAACCGTCATGTCATTTGCAGATGCATAGGTTCACCTGGCACGTGATGGGTAGCCGCCGTAGAAGGCGGAGCGACCGCGACATGAGAGTGAGCTCGGCAGAGACTTTTCGGGGTGATTTGCTGGACCGGTTCCACCGTTTGCACGGAGATGCGTGTCATGGCATTTTTGTGTAATCATGTGGCGGTACGCCCTTCGTAGTGCAGAAGCCCAAATCAACCATCAGACTAGTCAGCGCGGAATAGTCTAACGATTTGAGTTCGGCTTCTATAGTAGTAGCGAGTTGAGCTCTTAGCCTACGCTCGTGTTGGTGATGGTGTACACAGGATGGTGTTAGCGTTTCGTGACCATAGGACTGCTGCGTTTCATTTGCGATGGTGATGTCAGGACCCTGCCACGAGCGGGACGTTCTTCAGCTGGTTCGACGACCTCATCGTTTACGCCGAAGCGGAAGGCACAGCCACTCTTGTCCCTAGGTAACCACTCAACCCAGCCCCGAACAACTTGTAGCATTCGCACGAAACAGCAGTATTATAGCACGTTGTGCTCAGCCGAAGAAATTGTCCTACTCCTAGATAATACTTGGACTTAGCACCAAATCCAGTACCTTTGGAACGCCCCCCCCCCCGGTCCTTGGACGTCATGCCACCGGTCCCAGCTGTGCACCTGCAGCTTTTATGGCAGTGCTGAGCGATTGTTTCCCTGCGCTTCATTCGGCTAGTTTTCTTGTGTCTTGTTGGAATTTTATTCTCGGTGGGTGTTTCTGCACACGATCAGGGTATGAGCTAAACCTTTGCTAGCACCCACCCTGTGCCTAGCAGTACACAGCCCTAACCTTTTCCATGCCCCCCTGGCTCGGTTTTCTTGTTGTCAGGATGCCCGTATCTCTCTCTCTCTCACTCACTTTTCACCCGTTGTGCTCTTGAGAGTGCGTTGATGATATGTTTTTGCTGCACACGCACACGGCACGAAAAACGCGGCACATTTTCACCCCCCCCCCTTCACACACACACACACACACTTTCTTCCACGTACCTCGTGCTCGTCTTGTGCTGTTTATTTATGCCTACCTGGACACTTGCAGCACCTCCTTCGACGGAGAGTACACGGTGTTCTCCGACGAAACGGAGTTCCAGTCCAGTCTTGCGGCATTCTTGGCCTCCGATGATGGTATCAAGTACAGTGCCAATGTCGTCGTCGAGGAGGACGGGAGCATCAGAGCGGCGGCCATCCAGTCCGAGTACAGCGGCGACATCAACGGCGACGCTGCCAAGCAGGTGCTAGAGTAACCCCCGTGTGCCTGCCCTCCGGCTGATCCCCGATTTTAGGAGGCGTTTGGTTCACTCCTACCCCAGCCTAGGACGTAAAAGGCCGTGACAAGAATAGATGCTTTTGGTGTTTGGCATTCGAATGGAAACGCAAGATCACGACGGAACACCTTTAAAAGTAACGCGTGTTTTGCAGCCTCGTGTGAGTCCGTGGTGCATGATGATGCACGGCGGTGACGGTCGGGTTGATCCATGGCCTAGTTTTATGTGTTGCCCCGTGCCGGTCAGCATGGTGACAACGTAAACGTTTATCCTGACGGCGCCTGTCTATTCTATGCAGGTGGATGCGATGGTTGACTTGAGAAGCGTGATGGACGACTGGAGCTTCGAAGCGTTCCCATGGAGTGAAAGGTGAGCAAACACGCCTATTTTTCCCTGTTTTTTGCGTTGGGCGCTTTCAACTCTTGGTGCTGTGGGACGTGTTACGTTTGTAGCGCCTCTTCTCGTACCCTCCTTGAGTAGTTAAGTTATTTAAATAGTTCTTTGGTTTGTGTCATGTCACTATCATCGTTGTTATTAAATATAAAGTCCTGGAAAAGCAAACCGCGTGGCAAGCATGAAGTCCCCAAATAAGCAGGGTCACAGCTTGTATAGATAGCCCCACGCTCACGCATGGTATGTTTGGGTTACAAACGTCCCCGGTTTTGGTCCAGGGTATTCGCGATGATCAAAGGCGTCATGAACAACCGTCCGCGTACTCTCTGTGAAAGCCCAGAGCCTCTTCAAGGTCCTAAATAGTACGAAAAGAGGAACCGCAGCACTCACCGCCAATCCCACCCCTTCCGTCTCTCCCCTTCCGTCTCTCCCCTTCCGTCTCTCGTTGCTGCGGAACGGTTCCTGCACGGTGCAGGTATTTCCAGTGGGAGACGTTCCAGATCATCTACCAGGAGCTGTACCAGGGCCTCGGTCTGTGCTTGGCGGTGGTGCTTGTCCTGACGCTTATCCTGATCGCGCATCCAGCCACGGCGGGCCTTGTTTTCCTCATGGTCACCTTCACGATCGTGGACGTTTTGGGCATTATGTGAGCTATTGTAGTTGGAGGGCCTCGTGTCGTGTGTGATCTGGTCCATGTTTCATCACTCGCGTATCTGTTTTGGTTTTGTCGGAGGCAAGGGTTTGCGGGGGGTGCGGGAGATAGCATTCCGCGACTCTCGCCATGCACACGCGGGTGCACCTCACACCGCTTCCACGATTTCACAGTGTATCGGAAAAAACGTTTTTATGTACCCTACCCACACGGAATCTAGTTTCTTTCTTCGTCTGCCAGTAAACAACGGGAATTTCTTGCATGTTCTCGATAGCTTCTCGACCTGGCGTCTGCGGCATTTAATAGTCTGTCCTTGCCTTGTGCAACCCCCCAGTTGGCAGACCCTTTTTCACTTCACCCTGCGCCAGAAGTAACACCCCTCGCTGTACAGCAGCATTAGCCATGGTCACCCCCATCGCCCCCATGTGTCTTCAACCTCCCTGGGGTGGAAGCTCTCGCCTTGTCGACCTTGGTTGCGTAACGGTTGTACAAATCGTAGTCATGCAAGACTCCCCCCCCCCCCGGACACCAAGTAACGCAGCTGGGAATCAATGTTTTGCTCCGTTTCTACATACGTAGCTTTTGGTTTGTGATTGTGCCATGTCGAACGATGCCTCTTGCATCGGTTGTCCGTTTGTGATAGGTACTACTGGGGGTTGTCCATCGACACGATTGCCGTGATCAACCTGGTGTTGGCGGTCGGCCTCTCCGTCGATTACGCGGCACATGTGGCGCATTCCTTCATGGTCAAGACGGGGACCAGGGACGAGAGAACGGTCCAGGTGCGACGAGTGATGGATAGTCTTCTCGCCGCTTAGGCCAGCCGAAGAGACTGTCTCCCCCAAGGGGCGATTGGACCTGTTGCGTGTTGTCCCTCTGGTCACGAGTATGTACTACGTGGGGCCTCATGTGGTGTGACGTGTTTGTGGTTTTGAACCCCCGTTGTGCTTATTTGCTTGGCCTTCTCCCCCCCCCCCCCGCCGCCCCCACCCATGCACCGTAACTGCAGGCTCTTGCTGACATCGGTGTGGCTGTGATTCATGGTGGGGTTTCGACGTTCCTGGCGGTGGTGCTGCTCTCCTTGTCTGCCTCCTACGTATTCAGGGTGAGGGACAAGAGGACGAGGAGATAAAGCAAGAGTTGGTTATTGCCTGACAACTCTTCCTGCGGCTGCTCCCCCACGATTTAGGTTTAATTTGTGTGTGCAATAAATAGTCGGTTCCTCCCGCGCCATTTAGGTTAAATTTGTGTGTGCAATAATAGTAGTCATTTACCGAGTGAAGGCCGGAACCCTTGATGCTGACCTCAGCATGCCCTTGCTATTAGCTTGTGTGGCTCAGCCCGAAACAAGTCCTTCAAGCCCCCCCGCCATTTCGACCAATGAAGATGAGAAGCGACTTTCGTGTACCTCGTGGGACACCGAAAAAACTGTTGTGCTAAAAAAAATTGCCGATGTCGACATGGAAAAGGAAAGATCCGTGCATGAAACAAGGGACACCCGAAACGGGCCGCGTCCAAGCGGCGCATGCTCTTAGGAGCACCTACGTTGCATGAAACTCTAGCTATAATAGCATTGGTGTCGAAACTCGAGGCAAGTTCTCCCAAGCTGTCAACATGCCAGTCCGTAGAGGCCCACATCGATGCAGGCGACCATTGAGATTTGTTTTCATCGCGCGTGCTGCTTTGAGCCAAACGCGTGCACGGGTGGCCCCGCGAAGTTGGCGCCAGCCTGGTATTTGCTCGCACTTTCCTTCAAGATGAGACAGAAGAGTCGGCTTTTTCCACCACTCCCACCGCATCTAGGTAGCCATGATACTTCCTCGCGGTTGACGTTTGCATCAACAAACGTTTGTTTTCTTTCGCGATGGGCATGCGGGCGGGCACACAGGTGCTCTTCAAGCAGTTCTTTGCGACCGCCGTCATGGGTCTGGGGCACGGTCTGATTCTTCTTCCTGTCCTGCTCAGCCTCGTGGGCCCGGCATCCTACAGGTGAACGAAAGCCTTGGGCAGCATATTTGTATACTCCGGTTTCAACCGTCCCACACCTGCCGCTGTGAGTGTGTGTTTTGCGGGGCTTGTTCTAGCTTGCACTATGGTGTAACTTTCAACGGATTTGTTTTCTTCCTTCTTTTCTTGCAAGTGACTTGATTGAGGTAGTCCGTTGGCTGCAGGCGTTTTCTTTTTGTAACAGGGCGTGTAGACCCGGCCGCTGAGTATCCAAGAAGTCGAGTGACGAAAAAGTGATCCACTTGGGACATTTCACTTTCAACTGCATCCATCCGTCAGAGGATGCCGATTCTAGTATCTCGCGCAGCCGTTCTTTTTCCGGCGAGGCGAGTTCTTGGTCGATCTTGAGTGTCTCGTTCGCTTCGTGCCGAACCACGGCGAGGTCTTACTTTGCTTGATAGAGCATTGAAGTCCTTCTTCATGGTTGGGCTGAGGTTATCCGTTGTTGAAAGCAAGCCGACGGACCTTCTAAGGGTCATCCATTGGAAGCCGCCTTTGACTCCTGTCTGTTAGACCTCGTCATCTTTTCTCTTCAGACTCTCGTGTTGGAAGAAACGACAGCGTGCCGCCGCCCGCCCCTATCGCGCCTTCCCAACTCCTGTCCTGCCCTTGTGTCCCCCACCGATCAGGGCTGCTGACGGTGACCTGAAGGAAAAGGGGCACGTCCAGGCTGCGGTAACGCCAGTTGGAAACGGCTCGAATTCGAAGGTCTCGCCTTCTGAAGGCAGATAGAGCTGCGTTTTTGCTTGGCTCTTTGCTCGCCGTCTTGTCTTTGCCCTCAGTCTCTCACGTTCAGCCTTGGTTGGCGATGAAGGTTGTTCTTGTTCCCAACGGGCATTGTACAGCCTCTCTCTGACTTGTGTGAGTCCTCCCTGTCAGTGACAGACGGTTGTTCTATCTTTTTAATGTTTTTTTGTAGTTGTCCATGTTCGTTTCTTTTGGCGATTTTGTACGATATATATATATATATTTTGTCTTGACTTCACATCAGCACTCACAGCACTAGTGCCGTTTACTCCAACCCGTGGTCACACCGAAGAGCCCCTATCTACCCTCCCCTCCTGCGGTACTTTGCCTTCGATTTTTAATGCGAGAAGAGTTCAGCACTCTCTTCCCTCTGTGTACACACGATGTTGGACTCCTCCGAAGGGTTTTGTCCGTTTGTGTCGTTCGTATGTACTATTGTATAGCCCTTGGTTCATGCCAGACCATGTCGTCGACGACCAAATCGTTTTTTTGTCTTGGCCCCTTGCAAGGATTTGTTTGGGCAAGCATCTTTGCCAACCCACAGCAGTGTGGTATCGCTCTTGTGCTTGAGTCGGTCGTGATTCAGTTGTTTGTTATTTGGTGTTTTGTCTCTCGTGACGGTTCGAGCATTTGCTGCGTTTCTGCGTGGTGCAGCACGTGATCCCGTTGCTCTCTTTGTTTACGCTGAGCCAAGCTAGAAGGGAGGCAGGTCGGAGAGCAGCCTCACCCAGTTAGTTAGGTGCCTTTGGCCAGAATTTTGCAGTTTTTAAGCATGTTATTTCAGGAGAGGTTCTTGAGCCAAGGGAAAGGTGGTGCGGCGGCTTCTTCATGGTTACGACCAGGCTAGACTATACCCCCGCGCACTATAAGAGTGAAACGGCTTTGCATTATATTATGCTTCTTTCGTGTTGCCATGAAAATTTAAGCGTGGACAGGTATTTGGGTGTGTTGCTCTTTCGCAGAGCAGTGTGTGTGGCGGGTAAGGGCATGGTGCCAATTAGACTCGAGAGCTCTTGGGCGCGCAACGTCGAAAGAAGAAAGGAGAGGATATAAACAGATGATCCTCCCCCCTCTCCTCCTCAGTGCTCGGCTGGTGGACTTGACATTTATCGTTGTTTTTGATTGCTTCGCGAGTACCTATTTTTTGGACGGCCAGCCATCCTGCCTGCCCTGCTCCCCCGCGGTGTTGGTGTAGTTTTGTTCGTGGCCCCAAAACCTTTTCGGGAAGGTTAACTGCTGTGATATGGCACGCCGGCAATGCGACCGCTTGATTCGGTTCGGAGATTCCGCGGCCGTCCGTGTGTACATACAGCACGTCTAATTTCTGTTTTGAACACTGTTTTTTGCTCTTTTCATGGCGCTGCATGTGGTTGGATGCCGCCGTAATTTATCAAGTGGCTGTGATCGTCTTGGTTGGGTGTAATATAGCCTGCTGGTGTGACAGTCACACAGCGTTCTTCTGAACCGGATCTGGTGGTTCTGTTTGTTACCGTCTTTTTTATAGTTGGTGCTCTTCAACGAAGATGATTGCTTCCATCGGTGGTGCACACGTGGCATCAAGCCAAATATTCTTCTGCCGGCCCTCATCACGTGGTATTTTCTTGCCGCAGGGACCTTAAGAGCATCCTTGACAAGGTGCATCGACGCCATTAGGAGCAATTTTCCTGTCCATCGATCCGCAAAGGCAGTTTGATATCGTTCTTTATCCCCCCCTGCTGTGCCAGGAAGGCCGTGTCGCTGGCACGGTGCGACACAACGATAATCCCGCGCTCTGAACCATCACGAGCTTGCCGGCATGTTAATGTGTCCTTAAGCCTTTCGCGAAATAAAGGAATTGCCTTACGGTGGGTCGATGCTGCCTGCACACACATGTCCCCTTGTTTACCGCTGCAGCACGTACTGGTCCCTTCGCTGCAGCGATCCACATCAAAATTGAGGTGGTTTGATAAAAAGTGTGTGATGTTTCTCATGACCATCATAGTTCCAGGCGCACGTGTAACCTCAATCTAAACACGTAGTACCAGTATCCTAGGAGCGGGTCATGGCCGTTGCCCCGAATCTGACGTGCTGCCATCTGCACGTAGCCTCGTATTCCGCCTCGATCCGCGTGGCCCACACCAACATGGCAGCCTAGAAAAACAACGAGATACAACCATCTTGCATCGTAGGGCACATTATTTCCACCCTCCGCCTTCTCCCTCTAACCTACAAAGCTCCCAGAACGTCTGATGGGACTGCGAGACGATACCGCTACGGTTTACCGTGTGTGCGGTACACTTGAACGTAACGACGACCCATCCATCCATCCAACCACCGCCTGCAGTATCTACAATAGTAATCGGCCAATCCCATTCCTAAAAAAACGTGCCGTGCGGTGGAGTGCACGCTATGCTCCTTATTACCACGCACACCCCGCCGGGTTCAACAAAAAAAAAAAACGGCCTCAGATGCATCATCCCGCCTAGCACACCACCCGCGCCGCATCAAAAACAACAGCAACCCAACAGCAACTCAAATCACAGCTGCTGCCGAGTCTACCTTGCAAGGCTGTAGGACGCGATTGGCGCGACAAAGGGAGGGCAGAAATGCCACCCGGTGGCGCAGACTGAGGGGGCGTAGCGGAGTCGCGTGCCTATCCAAGCTTGTGCGCACATAGCTGGCTTGAACGTGTTGTCACCATGCTTTGTTCCCACCCTCCTAACCTGCTGCTGCTGCGGCGGCGGCTGCTGTTAGCCGAGGCGGGGGCGTTGCCGTAGGGACTAGTGTACAAATGTTCGGCTCAGCCCATCGATGCGAGGAGGGGGGAGGCAGCACCCGGGCCGAGAGCGCGCGGTTCCACCAGAACGGCCGCAAAACCAAAAAAACTTTTCGCCTGCGCCTGCGCCTGCTGCCTTGTCTCATCTCGTCTCGTTTGCGTGAGTCTGCCTCATCCTGACTTGAAGAGAAGAACTGCCACCTGATTGGCCAGGCGGACGGGCAGGCAAAGAAGCCGTCGACACGCTCCAAAAGGTCAGATCGGCTCGGAAAGAGATTTGTCTCAAGTCAGCGAAATGAAGACAAACCGATTGTTTTGTCCCGAAAACTAACGTCGGGACGACACATACGCACACGCTACAGTATATACGTACGTACAGCCACGATTAACAACGGAGGCGAACAGGTCGAGCCATCCCCGCAGTTGAATATTCGTGAGGCGCTTTCGACGGGGAAAGGAGAACCAAGAAACGAGCTCCAACCAACGAGCTCCAACCAACACCTCCGTTCACGTGTGCAACAAAAAGAAAGGTCTTGGGGGTACAGCAGTACTGCTGTAATCCTACAAGTGCGGGGTAGTCGTGACCTCCGGTTGGCACGTCAAACCCGGCAAAAAATAGCACGCCGGGCGCTCGACATGTTCGCCGCTGTTCTACAAGAGAAGCAATAAATAAACACGGGTGCATTCGTCTCAACCTGTCGTCGAGTAGATCGCTACTACAACAAGGGTGCGGGACTGTGTCGGCGAGAAAAAAGTACACAGACATCCCCCCGTTCCTTGAGACTTCGCAGGTGGCCACGATCGATTTGCTCGAAGCAAGTTGCACTTTGCGCCCACCAAACAGGCTACTTACAATAGTGCACGAAGCGATAGCCCCCACTTGAGAACCGCTAGCTTTGGCCCGTGCTGTGGTTCTTACAATTACAATTACAATAGTTCCTCTTGTGGGCTACAAATCGCCGCTATGTAGATTTAGTGCAGGGGTTCTCAAGCGGGCTCACAAAACGTGCTCAAGTTCTTCAGTTCGATGGTATGTTGAGCACAAGTTTTTGTAACTACTGGGCGGTATCTGCAGTGCTCTTATGCCGATCGATCGACCCGTCTTTCGGGAGAACTTGCCTGGCCCAAGTAGAAGTAGATGAAGTGCTTCGTCTCGTGGGTAACGTAGGACCCAAAGTTGCGGCCCACAATGCAGTGCCAGGTTGCGCTGTACTTCTTGTCGAACTCCTTCTTGATGAAGGCGGCAATGTCCTGCGGTGGAACGGCACACACACACACGCGAGAACAGACCGCGACACGTCGGGTCACGTCACGACGAGGTTCGTGAGAGGGAGGGTTGTGTGGGTTGAGCTTGCGAGAAGAGGACCGAGAGTTCAGCATATACCAGAAGGCGAGGCCAAACACGAGCCCTAGGCAGAAAGCCCTCGCTAGACAGTGTAGATGCGACCTTAGTAGCAGGTGAGGACGGAGCACATGTAAATATGAGCAGGCGAGACGGAGGTGGTGTTGCAGAGCACACTTGACGCACAAAACGAAGGGACGCATGGCCGGACATGGCATAAATTAGCACGCGAACACAGGAGGAACGGCCGGGGTGCACCAAACACCAGGTGGAGCTTCGACACAGCGGGGCAACATGCGTATGCCAAAGAAAACGACGGAGGAGAAAGAAAGACATGACCACCAATGCCCAGCACTCTGGTGCACCACGATTGGTACGCAGAGTTGCAGCGGCACCTCAATACAGTACCCGTTCGAGCTGCCATTGCCGTCACTGCAGCAGCTTAACAAGTACTGCTGCCGCGTGAAATCGGAGCAAAGAACGAACTATCGAAGGCTCCGCTGCTGGTATTGTGCGGATGAAAAAGCCAAGCGCATGCTCAGTAGAGGAATCGTGTTCCTCAACATTCACGAGGAAACAGCAAATTTGGTGCGGAATCACAGCACCACAACCGCACCACATCATCCCAGTTGTTGTTATCACTGGAACTCCTTTTTGACGCACTTTCCCACGAATTTCAAGCGCTAGGATACTTTCTACCACCGCAAATACAGGAACTCTCTCGTATGTCTAGTTCTCTCTCCATAACGAGATCATTCGTATTGGATTTGGGAGAGGCCTCCTGCGCCAGTCTATGGTCCCGCCCATCTCGTTGCCTCCGTTGGCTTCACTCAACTTGACCACTAGCCCAGCGAAAAAAATATGATTTTCGCTACTTCACCCGTGAGATAAACCCTGCGAACGGAATGGTACGGAAATGAACTTGCCTTCTCAATGTTGTACTTTTCCAAAGCCTGGGACGCGCAGTCTACCGCATCCTGTTGCATGTCTTCGGACATGTCGGCATTCTTGATTACCGCTTTCCTCTCCGACATCTTGGCTGCTGCTGCCGCTGCTCTGTCTGGCTACAGTTGGTTGGATATGCAACAACGGAGAACGCTTGTAACGCCGCTCCTTCCCTTGCCCGCCGTAGGCTGCAGCTGAAATTCTTGTCCTGACACCCGCCCCGAGATAAGTTCTCAAGACTGCAGCAGCTGATGTGGCAAGCAAAGGTCGCCCGCTCGTACTCCGCTCTGTTCTTGACGAAAAAAACGAGTATGCACACACCGTTTGCAATCGAAACACAGTGACAGAGGTGTCAGCATCAGCAGTACCAGCGAGGCGCATTGGCCGGTTGGCTCTCAGCGACAGAGCACCCCCATCCGGTAGCCACACGTCCGTGATCACAAGTAGTTGTTGTTCTTATGGACAATTGAAAATTCGCTCGCAGTTGAGGATATTGTACAATGTAGTGCTTTAGTAGTGACACAGCTGGGGTGTTTTCCTAACATGGGCCACAAGGCACGGGTATCACAACGAACGTGCTCTGTTGCTTCGCTCCCGCAAGAGACTCGACAGGGGGGCTGAACTATCGCACAATAGGATGTACAACGCCGACTACGTCAACAAGACAGGACCTAAAAAACGCACGCCCCAGGTGACAACCCCAACCCCTCAGGACACTATGCGAAAAACATTAAACAAGGGGGTGTGGAAGCTTGGGTGGGTCGTCGGCGGTGCCATCTGCTGTACCCCCCCGGGCTACCGAGAGACCAGCAATGGCTTGAAGCCTAAAAGAGGGCTCGGCTTTGCGCCTATTGAAACCTCGCGGACGACGCCCTGCCGCAGGAGAGTAAGGGGCGCCACCCCACAGCACCCAAACGTATGTACACACTCGCAACCGGCGACAGGAAGCCAGGGTAGGCGAACTGCTGGCAGCAAGGTGCATGTAATCCATTTGTCACACGCGTTCGGTGGGGGCTCCGGGCCGCTGCCTTTTAATGCGGCCGTTCAGTCATTTCGACGACTCCATCTCCAGGGTTGGGTGTACTTTTGCAATAGTTCCTCCTGTCGTACACGTCCCAAAAACGTATATGGTATGCGGTAGGCCGGTACAGGACGTTGAGTTGCGCACCAACCTGTGCCCTCGCCAACCTCTGAGCGATTTCGTCAACTTTCATAAGAGCACAAGTTGGTCCTTAACGGTCTCTCGGTGCTCCTATGAGCCACTTAAAGTACAGAATACACCCAACTACCGGCTCTTCCAACTTTTGGGCCCCCGCTCCGAGCGCAGACTGCGCGCACTCAGGGAGGCTGGTGCAGCAGTGTTCAACTATCGCAGAAATCTCCGCTCTGTACTCTGACCAGAACACCTCGCCACGACCCCCCCCCCGATATGTACCGACTTTTTGAACTTTTCGGCTCGCTCGCTTCGCCGACTTGGCGTCGCAGTCACCCCGGACGAGAGTCCGCGGGCCCCGTGGGAAGCTGTACGTATAATATCATGCCATGTGTAGAGATTTGCGAAGCAGCGTTTCCTGTATTGAGGAGAGTGGGAGAGCCCGCGCGATGCTTGCTGGCGAAGGAGCTTCGCGGGATGTCACGCTCATTAATTCTACAGCAATAGTATCGTTTCTCCCCTTTTGGCATGCATCAATGTGGCCGACCAAGCGAGGCGCCGACAAATGCCTCAGAATATTTCCACTCATCATGTCATCATGTCCCAGACGACAAGGTGCCGTCCGGCCGAGTCGTAGTCCGGGATTTGCATATTTAGTTTTCTAACCATAATCTTTGGAGGTACTGCTAGACATCTATACCTTCGTGAGGGGACGCTTTTGGGGTGTCCTGCTGAACTGCTCGAGGGTTAGAATGTATCTGGGTTCATTCGTTTGCAAACCGGTTTCGACTGCCTCGGGGTCGATCTCAGATTCATGCACCAACCACACCACCAACCACACCTGATCACCCTCCAACAGTTCTGCGAGGGCACACACCCCTTCGTTGGAAAATACCAAAAAAAAAATAGAGCGATATAGGTGACCGCAATCGATGTGCAGACAGCTGGGATGGCGATGCTTTTGTCCGTTTGAAACGCAAAATTGCAAACTGCTTGCGGACGTAGATTCCGATACGACAGCAGTATTGTAGTACCGCTGTCGAGTAGTACAGTACTGCGGAAACTGCCTCTGTGAGGTGTCAGGTCTCCTGCTACATAATGGCAAGTCTATTTTTGGAGTACGATCAGAATCCGTGGCGACAAAGCGTGTACCACATAACAACAACTGGTAAGAAATGAATCATAACATCATACCGGCTCCCGGAGAAACGTGATGGTACATACTACCATGTACCTCGTCTATCTTGCGGTGTATTTTTCCTGGGGGCACACTAATTACAGCAGTGGGTGTATCATGGCGTGTGTGTGTTTCGACGGGTAGACTTTTTGACGGCATCAACTACCGCAACAAACGACGTGTCCTTCCCCGACGAAAATACTACTACCAATCGTGTGCTGCGAAACAAACGCTGCGCGAAATAAAAACTCTCGACAGAATGCAAGGCCGTGTGTGCTGGAAGTTGGGGACCTGTGCTGCATATTGAACCCACCGACTTTGATATATCATCGGTGCTCCCCTACAACAGGTAGACGGGCTCTTGCGCAGAAGACGACAGCGTTTGTAGCGGTTTCGTTTGGGATACCACACCAACACCGCCTCCGACACGAACCGAAGCACTCCTACCCGAGAACCAACATCTGCCCTTTCTATTTCCCAGGGCTACCATGGTCCCGACTTTGTGTTGGTAGACCGTTGACGACGCTAAGCGGCGTGCGGGGAGAGGATAAATTTGAGACAGATGGCGACGCACACACACCCCCCAATCTTTTTCCGGTCTCCTTCTCGCGGACACACAGCAGCAGGCATCATCTTGACTGGCTTCTTACCTTCTCCTCAAAGATCCCACGTCTGTTTGCCTCGGAGCAACTTCTTCGCCTGTGGTGAGCTTCGATCCCAATCTCCCTGTCTCTCTGTCTTTGGCGCGTTCTGGGTGGGGTAAAATTCGGTCCCGGGTGGTCAATCTGTCGTCTCTCTCTTTCCGGCTCCAACTCTCTCACTCCGGAGTTCCAATAATCTGGCCGCGCGTTCTTGAAACTGCCGGTTGTTTTTCCGTGGACGCGCGAGACGACTACATCGAAAAGGTTCATGCTGCAAGTCGCACGTTGACCACATGTTGCAGCCCATGCTGAATCCCAACAATACGTCCGGGTCAAGATTAATGTCTGGTTTGTCCACGGGCACAAAAGGGAAACAGACTGAATACCAAATCCACGAGATTGAATACCACGCGTTTGGCAGGAGGGCGACGTGTAAAACGCATCTTCCCTCGTTCCCTCTCAGGCTCGGGCAGGTAAACACAGACGGCGCGGCATTCAGCAGTAAGTACAATACACACCCGCGTCGGTATAACTTGAGGCTCTGATGTACCATGTCGTGTACATGCGGTTCGATACATCCAATACAACACACAATCATCAATCTTACCCTCGAAAGGGCCCTACCGCTGTTGGCTGCGATGCCCCCTATTCGCCCGGTAACACACGACTGACTAGTCTACATGTATTAGCTGGTTGGCCTGTAGTAGTACTGTAGTGCCGAACACCGCCAGGGGGTCGGTTTTCGGCTCTACGAGCCACCAGAGAGGTAGCATTGCGCCCCTAAGATGCATGCTCCAAAATAGATATAGTCCTACTTCTAAAATGTAGGATGTTGGCATTTGTACATCTATGTCTATGTATATTGTATAGTGTTGTTGGTTCGAACTTTTACAAACCACAGCCATCGCGACCAGGTACCTACCATCGACATACTCCCTGGAGGTATTGTTTCTACGACACAACAACGTGTGCATTGTACACTCATGAAATATTTTGTGACATATACCTGTCTATCTATGTATCTCTGCATTGCTGCCAGTGGCAGGACGTGAAAGCGCTGAAGAATCTTGGTGTGCGGTGCGCGTCAAGTAGACTAGACTATGGGGCTCTTCAAGAAAATTGCCTCGGCTATGGGCCGATCCCGTGGAAACATGCGCATTCTCGTGGTGGGTCTCGACAACAGCGGCAAATCTACCCTGATCGAGCATATCAAACCTAACAAGGTGAGCCATACATGGTACACTTTCACAGCTCGCAAAAAGTAGGCTGGATTTTTCATCGACTATGTAAGCATGTTCACGTTTCTGGTACTCACAGAGTAATGTAGGCACTGCAAGCACAACGAGCAATATCCTTGCTGGTGAGAGTTATCTCGAGTGTAGCAGGTGCAAGATATGGTTTCCCCTGCAGAGGCTACAAACAGCCACGAGAGCTAGCGTACTCGGCGTACTTGTCTTGTGCTGGTGGCAGGTCAACCAGTAGGCTACGTACAGTCCTTGCCATCTACAGCAGTCTACAACACCTATTTTACCTTTGCCACTGTCTGACTGACGAAAAATAACTGTGTGTTGATGTAGCTCGGTCTCCCTGCCATTTGGCAGTCAAACGTACCGCCGGACTTGATGAAGAGCACATGATACATCAGCAGTGCCCGGGAGAGTAGGGAAGACATTGTAGTGCGAGAATCGAGTGCAGATGCTCGTCGCGTGAATGCGTAAAGATGACATCACGCGACAAAACAATGAATACCAATATTATGTTTTTAGTGGGTTTTCTCCCGGGAATGGACAATATTTTTGAAGAGTATTGCGTCGGCGATGCATTCTTCACCACCTAGCGGATTCTTCCTGGCCACAGAAGGGCCACAGATGTGCCTACCTTGATCAGAAGGAACGGTAACAAACACTGCGTAACTCGTTCTGGCGGGGTGGGGTGGGGGTGAACAGGCGAGCACATTCGAGGCAACCCCCACTGTAGGGTTTCAAGTGCAGGAGTTTGCCAAGAACAATCTTAATTTCACTGTAATCGACATGTCCGGGCAGTCGAGGTACCGCACGCTCTGGGAACACTATTTCTGGTGAGCGGCTATGATGGGTGTTTGTTTGTGGTTTCTTTGAGTACATTTGCATCGCTTTGAGTACCGCCGCATCCCTCCTGGGCAATGATCGGATGAGAGCTGCAGGCAAGTTGCAATTACAAGCCAGCAGCCCCGTTGTGCCTTTCGGCCCTTTCGGATGTTGTCTTCGCCGACTAGATCGGATGTTGTCTTCGCCGACTAGAATCCGCTTGACTCTCCATCAGCCTCTCGCTTTACAGACCGCTCGAGTAGGTGCTCTGTTGGGTCTCACTTACTCAATAGTCTAGGAAAACGAACGTAGACGAGTCAACCTGGTACGGCTGGAGGGCCACCGGACAAGCAATTCCGCCAATACTGCCACTACGGTACAAGTTTTTTCTCGGTAGCCTGGGCAAACAGGATCACTCCATCGGTGCTTGTGCAGCGATAACAAGAGGAAAACCAACGGTTCCCCTACTACTTTGGTGCGCGCTTGGCTGATACCAGCTGAGACTGCTGTTCTCAGCGGCAATTTCGTCGCTCGCAGTAGACAGCCCAACGTAGAACCTGACAGGTGAAGGCTGCTGCTGCAACAGGATTGCTTTCACTTCAGCCTCACCAGAACTGTATTTTGCTGCCGATGCTATTCTCGTTCGATATACTCCGTATATGCGTACCGAAGAACGCAAGAACGCAGCCAAGTAGCACAGATACTTGGTACTGCTGTGCAACCCAACCGGTCTTACGCAAGTCCCATCTCGAAACTATAGCCGGGACCGGGACAATCATGTGTGTGCCAGGTTGTTCACTTACCACCGGTGCTTGGCTGTCTTTGTCCGTCCTGAAGCATTCGTCGACAGCTCTCCCCGTTCTGTATTAACCCGTCTAAATACGTGTCAACAGCAATGTCCATGCCGTTATCTTCGTGGTGGATAGCACTGATCGTGTTCGGATGTGCGTTGCGAAGGAGGAGCTCGAAGAGGTTCTCAAGCACGATGAGGCAAGCAACGAGCTTCTTGCAAGCAAGGACGCGCTTGATGCGTTTGTGCCTGTGATATATCGTGCTTTTCTTTGGGGGGCAATTGGTCGCAACAAAGTCGAGTGCAACGTAAGAAGTTGATCGATTTGCGCCGTCAACACTGCCCGGAAAAACTACCCCACAAACAGTAGTCGACCCTATTTGGTGGAGAAATGTGAAACATGAACATTTTCGTTCAGAATTGACTGGAGCTTGTTCAGGCGTGGTTGTTAGCACGTCGGTGTACGTTCATGATTGGGTAGTTCGAAGGTCGGGAAGGGGACCCTCTCACCCTCAGATCGATTGGTGACGTACGTCGTGATTCGCCTGCAAGATTTTCTGAGCCATAACGTTATGGTGCCAACAGCCTGGGATTTCGCGTCGTAGTAGGAGAAGCGCATGGCGAAACAGAGAGCTTCTGCACCATTTTTGGTGGACGCGGATGCGCAATATCCCCAAAGACACTAATTGAGTCCGGTCGCAGGTTTATCACCTGCCCAAAATACTTCAGTATCAGGTTGCGACTGTCAAACGTCGCCAAACCTATAACACGGGTACTCAAGGCTAACAGCCATTCCAAAAGCATTGACGTGGTTGTCGACGCGTTGTGGGGACGTTTTTCCGGTGTACATTCATGGTGCGGACCCCGATTTAAACGCTGAAACATGGATGGTTCACATGACTTGCAGGTTCAAAATTCAGGCATGCCTATCCTGGTGTATGCCAACAAGGGCGACTTGCCTGGATCGATGTCGCGGCAGGAATGTGCCGATGAGCTCGGACTGAGCGGATTGAATGACGAGCAAACACCATGGCACATCGAGTGAGGACTTACAACATCGCTCGTGTGCCTCTTAGCGGTGCAGGGAAGATACCCTTGTTTAGGGCGATGTATTGCATGCCTCATGACCAAGGACGTACTTGTATTCGAGTGCGAAAAACGTTCCTTGCCAACTGCCACTGATATACGGTGAGGTTGGGCACAGTATGTTGATGCAGCCGGACGATTTGGAGGTAAATTTATCTGTTCAGGTTGTTGGTGGTGTGCGCGGGCCGTGAGATCTCAAGTCCCCTCAATCCCGAAATCCGAGTTGCAGAAAATCTCAAACTCTATGCTCACCCGGCGCTTTACGTCCCTTCTTCTGGGTATAGGGAGGGGCAACAAGGAAAAGAGAAGGAAGCATGGGTGAACGTTAGTGCATGCAGTTCACACACAATCGTCCCTCGCTCGTTCCAATTCAGCCCCAACTATCAAGTGTCTGGCGGGCAGTTTCCCTCGGTGTTGCTCTGGTACTTTAGGGTTGATTTATGTGGCGTAAAGGGGTGCGCCGTTTGTTCACACAAGGCGGTGAGGTGGCCTGATGGAGAATATTTAGCGGTAATATTCTCGATGACGAGCAATATGCAAACCATGTGCCGGTAGACAAATGGGGAAATCACAAGAGCAACAAGACGTCCGGACCTACGAAAGCACTTTGGTAATCCCACAATTTAAACCCTGACCAAGGGTACTCAAATCCTAGCGCGCAGTCCCATGTGGCACGTACTCCACGTACTACGTACGTACGTGCGTCTTTGCACGCCATGTATTGACCTGAGTACCAACGTACGTCTGCCGTTGAAGGTTTCGTACACGTCATGCAACTCTGTATCCGGCTCTCCCCGATCTCTTTCTGCCGTTCCTTGCGCTGGCAGGAAAAGCAACGCTCTGGTTGGGTTGGGGGTCGAGGAAGGGGTCAACTGGTTAGTCCAGACTTTGCAGTCCGCGTCGGGGAGGCGAGAAACGACAGAAGGACGTCGGTCGTCCGGAAGCGGCCACAAGTGACGACAATGGGTGTGGTGGCATCAGTTCACATCGAACGAGCACATGGTTATCTGTCATTGATTTCTATTGACTTGCGGACCCCTCGGGGCCAGTTTATTTGAGTTTACCTTTTTTGGGTAAGTTAGCCTGTGACCACGGGGATCGACCGCATCAAGTGTTGGATCAGTACAGACATATGAAGGTACTGGGTAGAGAGAGATCGGAACGTTTTTTTTTGTGAAGACAACAACAACAACAATGGTTATGGTTAAGAATGATCGTTCGTGTTCCGGCGTTAGTGCCAACGTCATCAAGGCGAAACACCAACAACACTAAATAACGAAACAAGAGGTCATCGTTTTCTCTCTCCTCTGAAAGGACGGGATGGAGGAGACGAAACATAATTCGTTAAACATAATTCGTTTCAGTTGAATGTTTGACTGCTGACCGACTAGCTAGGCGGCCGGGGTTCGTACCTTCTTCGCCGTCTAGCGGAAAACCCTCATGACGCGTGAAATCGAGCTGGAAGTTGTACTATACTGTTATGTATGGAAGACTACACGACCACCAAAATAAATACCTGCTGCGCTATTCAATCTCGGAGCCCTCCAGCTCACGTCTGTCGTCCTGAACTTGCGTAAACCATGCATTCATGCGACGTAGTTTCCTGTACGTTTTTTTGCGGCATCTCAAGCTTCGTGCGGCAGATGAAGCGGGCAGTTGTGCCACCCTTGCAATAACGACACCTATCCCGGTGGTTTGGCCATTGTCCTGGCCACGCCCTTGACCTCTACGTACGTCCAAACGATTGTATGTCGTCTTCCATAAACTATCGTAGTAGCTGGGAGATGAGTGAGTAGGTTACCAGAGATAATGGGCGCACACGGGCAAGCACACCCATGCATTTTGGACAGCATAGAGCTCAGGAAATGACCAGAGGACCTTTCACCACTGATTCTTAAACTCACTTCTTCCAGAAACAGCATACAGTACTACATATTACGAAACCTCTCGACAAACACACAATAGTGCCACCCACGCGACGCAAACAAGTCACGCGGTGCTTCGTCCGCGCGTCGTGTTATAAAGTCCCGCAAACAGCACCATCCAATTATCCCGAACTCCTTGCAAGTCAACTCTTAGCACCCGTTCGTGTCCATTCATCGTGTACCGTGCTGTCTCGCATGGTCGCTCCCACATTCAGAGCTCAAACACGTCGCATTCTCCCTGGAACAATGGCAATGCAGTATCGTACGGGAAGCGTTGACGTGCGAAATAACATACCGCAACAACAACAACAGCAGTGGCTCGTGGCTCCACACTATACTGCTGTGAAACAGGACTCACTTCTTGTAGTGTCTCTTGCTTGTCTACAGTTGTACTAACAAAAAAAAATGACAAAAAAAGTGATCTACTACATGCCATCCGCTCACTTCTTCTGCACCCTCGAACATCCACAGCTTACGCTACAGCACGCTCACGGTAACCACTCTCTTGTGATACATACCATTACGTTCGACCGCGCATACATGTGGAAAACCTTCATGGCACAGCAGTAGTAGTTCCGCCGGGAGTAGCCTTGCTAGATTCAGAACAAACATATAAGACAATATAAACGCAACATTGTTAGTACAACCGGGGGGTGCGTCACTCTCGTGCATTTCATGGTCGGCCAACCGATGCTACTGCAGAAAACTGGAGCACGTTTTGCTACCTCTATCGTGCTGCCTTGAGACTCTAAAGCGTCACCCCCATATACATGTAGGTATATAAAAACATTAACGTCATATGGAAAGCAAATATTGTGGAATCCATTTTCTTCCTGTTAAAACAAGGAACGGTCACCAACAAGAGAAAAGAAAACGAACGTCGTATACTCATGCAGAACTTCGCAAACACATGATTCCAAAGCTGCCCAACATCCGTACATCTATCTGTTTAACCACCCACCCAACAGGTAGCAACAACAACAGCCGCCAAAGCGCTTAAAATCGTGTTACACTATGAAAACTTGAACACGCTTTTGGAACGTGAGAGATGATCATCACTCCCCCTCCGTCCACCCTTCAACCGTCTGTAATCCATGCAATCGTACACACACATATCGTCATGACCCACCCCTCCCTCCCTATTGTACTCACTAGGAAGACACATACGGTAGTGAATAAACACAACAGGTACAATTGTACGCAATTCGAAAGACGCCGCCCGGAGGTTACCATAGGTGACACGAGATACCAAATCCCCTGGGTCGATTTTCAAAGCTCGGTTTCTCCACAGCTCAAGTAGTGGCGGAGCCGCAGATGGCGACTGTTGGGCCCGTCTCGTCGAGAGATAGCTTTCCGAAAACGAACCGTTTCATGTACGCATCCTCTTGGTCGTGGAGCAGTCGAAAAATCGGTGCAGGGTGTGTGGTATCTTACGTCAATGTCACATACGGTAGTCACAAACGCTTCGTGCACAACCGCGCCTTGAGGTAAACTTGGAGCCGGCGGCACTTGAGCAGGATGCCAAACCTGCCCTTTTTTTATTAATGATACAAACAAACGCCTCTGTCTGTCTGTCGAGAGGCCCCGGGTGGATTGTTGGTGTGTGGTTTCAGCCCGCCTTCACTTCGCCGCCACCGGCGTTGATGTCGCCGGAGAACCCCTTGCCGTCTTCGTTCACCACCTGAGGAGAAGAAACCGATCACACCGCGGGCAAGACAATACGGTAAGACTCAAGCCCGCGGGGGTGAGAGCAGGTGGGTGAAGCGCCGAGGCGCTGGGTCTCGATGAACGAACGGCCTATAATACAATGCTTTAACCAAAGTTGCTGCTCACACAGGAGCGCCGGCATCGGTCAAGATAGTCCCCGGCAGCCGAAACATTCACCACCAAAGAAATGAAAAGCGGTTATGTTTCTTTTGACCCACCCAATGTGCGGTGCAATCGTGAGGGGGGGGGGAGGGGGGTGACCTTACGCCTCAGACGCACCTAACCCGAACAAGACGGGGTTACTCGCTCAACCTGTTGCACCAATTCAAATCAACCTTATAACACAGCAGTATTGGACGAGACACACATTAAAATAATCAAGGGTTTACTCGGTAACGGTTTTTTAGGCGGACAGGTTTTCGGCGGTAATGCCATTTGGCGGTAATTGTTTTGGCGGTAGGCGGTAATGCGTTTTTCGGCGGTAACGACCTTGGCGGAGGCGGCAAAACCAAAAAACGACGGTAATTTTTCGGCGGTAACGCCATACCGCAGTAATGGTTTTGGCGGAAGGCGGTAACGCGTTTTTCGGCGGTAACGACTTTGGCGGAGGCGGCAACACAAAAAAACGGCGGTAAAACGGCGGAATACCGGGACCGCCCACCACGGCGGTAATTTGACGGCGGTAATATTACCGGTTAAACCCTTGGTAATAATAGGCTGCATATTTACTCCCACAAAGTGCTACCTATACAAACAACCATATTCTGCGTATGGCATGGCAATCGTGCCTTCTGGATGCTCTGGCTGGAAGGGCCAAGGATGGAGAACATGACCGGCAAGAAGCACACTCCGGCGAAGAATCCCAGCGCAGTCATGATAGCGAACGTCTGAGGACAGCCAGCCAGCCAGCCAGCAAGCAGCGCGTCAAAACACAGAACAAGAGTCGGAGGAGGGTGAAGGTTCCGGGGATACGACAGTGATGAGACAAAAAGATCATTCAGAGGAAGGTGAACGGAAAATCTACAACTACGGCACCTCTTCGCCGTGTACAGAAGGCAGGAGGCCCAAAACTTGAGCTTGCATGGCTCGCATTGCCAAACACTTGTTGTCAGGAACCGACGCACAGCGCTGGAAAACTGAACGAGCCTTTCATACATGCAATACCGCAACACGTGTCTGGTTGTCTGGTGGAACGAATCTGAAGTTCGTCTGTCGTCGCTTTACCTGGAAATAATAGGAGTGGAAGCTGCAGGATGCCGGTTAACCAGGAGCAAACGGACAGCACACCCCACGCGACGCGCCCGACGTTAAACGTAGGCACACGAACACGCCCAGGTTGCCCGTCGTAGCCACGAGGGTCAACCCAATGATCGCACCACAGATTCGTAGATTGCATCCAAGATCCGTCGTCCATGTTTTCACCCGGGGGGGCACAGCGCAGTGCGACACACGAGAAGGGAAGAGGAGGCGGGCATGACAAGGGTGGGGGGGGGGGGGGGGGGTCGGCCATGGGGGGGAATTTTTTTCTGGGACACCCACAATGGGAAAAAATCCCCGG